CAGAAAAACTGGAAGCATTCCCATTGAAATCAGGAACCAGACAAGGCTGCCCACTATCTCCACTCCTTTTAAACATAGTGCTTGAAACTGTTGCAAGTGCAATAAGACAGGAGCAGGAAATTAAAGGAGTAATAATTGGAAAAGAAGAGATCAAATTATCCCTTTTTGCAGAAGATATGATATTATATCTAAGGGACGCCAAAAATTCCACTCAAAAACTCTTAGAAATTATTAACACTTTCAGTAATGTAGCAGGGTAAAAAATTAACCTACAAAATTCTATAACCTTTCTATGCAATCAGAGAAAGAGCACATGGAAACACTCCCATTCACAATAGCTACAAAAAAATTAAAATATCTTGGAGTAAACCTGACCAAAGACATTAAAGACCTCTACAATGAAAATTTTCCATCTTTAAAGAAAGAAACTGAAGAAGACATCAGAAGATGGAAGGACCTCCCTTGGTCTTGGATTGGAAGAATTAATATTGTGAAAATGTCCTACCAAATGTCATATATAGATTCAATGCAATGCCAATCAAAACCCCCATGACATTTTTCACAGAATTGAAAAAAACAATCCTAAGATTCATATGGAAGCACAAAAGACCTCGGATAGCCAAAGCCCTGAGCACTAAGAGCAATTCTGGGGGGATTACTATAGATTTTCAGCTGTATTACAGAGCTATAGTCATAAAAACAACATGGTACTGGCACAAAAATAGATCCATAGGTCAATGGAATAAAACTGAAGACCAAATATGAGTTGTGGGAAATGGGCACGTCTGAAGCCTACAAGATGGCGCCCTGGCACTTATCCAAGCCCTGTGGCTCCCAGTTTTTTATCCCACCTCGTGCATGGGCACTAAGACTGATCACGCATGCGCCTCAGACTGACCAAGTGTGTCAGCCTGCATGATCAGTGAGCCTCTACCTATCAGTTGCTGAGTCGCAGGCGTGCCACCCTGCTGCACGTGTACTCATTGGACAGTGAGTGAGGGATGGGCTTGGGGATTGTATATAAATGCTTCGGAAGTGCGCAATAAGGAGAAGCTTCTTGAACCCTTCCTTGGTGTACGTGTCATTCTTCCTCGATTCTGCTGGACGGGATCACGGTTTGGGGCATTTGGTGGCCCCTATGGGGAATTTTCTTCTGCAGCTGCAAGGTAATATATGAGAAGGTCCGCTTTATAGCAGCGGAGATCTAGCTATAGTTAAGTTCCCTAGGTAGAGGGACGGAGAGAGAAAAGTCCACAATAGTGTGGCGAAGCTGAGAACCATGGGATCTACTTTGTCCAAAGAAAAAGTAAAGACAGCTTTACTGAAGCTGTTAAAGAAACGGGGAATAAGGCTTAAAAATGAAACTGTACAAAAGTTCTTAGATGCGGTGGCGCATCACGCTCCATGGTTTTTGGAGGAGGGATATATCAATTCCTCCTCCTGGGGCAAACTTGGTGAAGATCTCAAAAGGGTCGATTCACCAGGAGTACTTCCCCCCGGTGCGCTGGCCATCTGGACCCTAGTGCAATCTTGCCTGGGTGACGCCTCTGGAAAGTTTGAGGAGGATATCGTGAACAGGGCCCAGGCTCTAGAGGAGTTACAAGAGGAAATATCTCAACAGGCTGAAGGAAGCTCTGTTAGCAATGAGGAAGTAGAGGAGAAGAGCTGTTCTGGGGAGGAAGAGGAACTAGGCGAAGGGGACTTGGAATCTCTCTTCATGAGATTAGAAGTGATGGGGGGCCGTAGTAAGGAAAAGAGGAGGCCCAGACTGATAAACTTAGGTGATCACCGCGAGGACCCTCTACCTTCGCCTTCTGCTCCGCCAGGTTATCCTGACTTCCAGAAGGGTGGCGGGCCGCTTCTTTGGGGAAGTGGCCGTTCTTATAATGCTCAGACTTGGGCAAAAGTCACTTCCTATCTGGGAGCATTCCCTGTGTTTCAGGATCAGAATAATCAGAGGATATACGAACCTCTAGACTGGAAAATAATTCAGAGGCTGAAAGAGTCCATCTCCACATATGGGACTCAGGCTGCCTATACCATTACACAAGTTGAGAGTCTTCAAAGGAATTGTATGACGCCCTTCGATTGGCAAAATTTGTGTAGGGCAGTCTTGTCAGAGGGAGCATATCTTAACTGGAAAGCTGCCTACCTGGAATATTGTGTGGAACAAGCTGCAACTAATGCGGCAAACGGTCAACCTGCATGGCGTGTTAACATGCTAATGGGGCAAGGCAACTTTGTGAACCAGCAGACTGGGTATCCTGTACAAGTTTACAATCAAATTAATGAGATGGTGGTTAAAGCATGGAAGATGCTCTCAGGGACAGGAGACCTTGGATCTAGTCTGTCTAAAGTATTACAGGGACCTAATGAGCCTTTTTCAGATTTCTTGGCAAGGCTAGTGGAGACGGCCTCACGGGTGTTCCCCAACGTGGATGCAGCGATGCCCTTAGTCAAGCAGCTGGCCTATGAGCAGGCAAACAAACCATGTAGGGATGCCATCCGGCCTTATAAACAGAAAACATTGGATGTTTGGATAAAAGTTTGTAGAGATATTAATGAAACAGTAATCCAGGGGCAAGCTTTGGCTGCAGCTATTGTAACTGGACTAAGAGGAGGTCCGTTGAATTTGGGACAGGGATCGTGAAAGCAAATTAGAGAGGGATGTTTCAGCTGTGGTCAAGTAGGGCATTTCAAGAGGGAATGTCCAAATTATGGTCCCTCAACACAAGTAGGAGGACGTCATCAGAAGCGGGCCCCATCACCTGCACCACGTCAACCTAATCTCTGTCCTCGATGTCAAAAGGGGAACCACTGGGCAGGAGACTGCAAATCTAAATTCGACATAGTTGTCAGGCCGCTTGGCCCGGTGCAACTTGGTGCCCGGCCAAAAAACGGCACGAGGGGCCCACCTTCTCAGGGCCCTCAAATATATGGGGCAATGCAACAAACAATGGGTCCTCCGGAGAAATGGCCAGTCATGCAACAAGTTCCACGTTGCACGGGGTTATGGAAGCCTCTAGAGGAGCCACCCCAGGAAGTGCAGGACTAGACCTCTGTGCCACCACCCGACTCATACTAACTCCTGAGATGGGAACTCAGGCCCTTCCATCTGACTGTCACGGGCCTTTACCAAAAAATACAGTTGGTTTACTTTTAGGTCGCAGTTCAGCTACTATGAAGGGGCTGCTTGTCCACCCAGGGGTCATTGATTCTGATTATGTAGGGAATATTAAAATTATGGTTTCCTCCCCGAAGGGGATATCAGCTATTAGCCCTGGAGATCGAATTGCACAGCTTCTCATTCTCCCCAGCTGCCATTCCTTATATCCTTCTCAGAAATGAATCAGAGGCCACAGAGGATTTGGGTCTTCCGGAGAACCAGGAGCTTGGCTTGCTCTGGGTTTGCAGGACAGGCCTATGGCCCAACTGAAAGTCCAGGGAGTAACTTTCTGGGGCCTGCTTGATTCTGGTGCAGACATCAGTATAATCAGTCAACAAGATTGGCCCAAAGGATGGCCTACTCAGTCTTTGGGACAAAACCTTAGAGGTATCGGAATGGCCCAGGATCCGCAGTTTTACTCAGCAGTAAAGAAAGATGAAATCATGAATTTGCAGGTTAATGGATGGAACTAGAAACTGTTATACTAAGTGAAGTAACACAGACTCAGAAAAAAAATCGACATATGTTCTCCCTCATATGTGGATCCTAGAACCAAACCCTGATAAGTGAGTATGTATCCAGACATAACTACAGGAACCAGGATAATGGAAAGGAAACAGGGAAGTAAAGGAAAAGAAAGAACCTGAAAGAGAACAATAGGAAACAGGTATTAGTAAGGGAGATATGGATAATAATTGGGTTAGTTTAAGGGAGGAGGGAGGGAAAGGTATACAAGGAACCTAGGGGATAAAGGGAAAGAAGGAGCTCAAGAGAGGCAGGAGAAGGGCATTGTTAAGGGAGAAAGGGGTAAATGGGGGCACTTTAAGTGGGAAAACCATGATGGAGGGGTGAGACAATGTGAGAGATAAATTATGCCTAGCAAGTTTTGAAAACCAGAGGGATCCATATTACTCCTACAATATGTGCAAACATCTAAGTGTTAGTATTATTAAAATGTAGGAAACAGTATATTTTAAAGTGAAATAGAGATCTTTTTTAAAGGTTAAAACCTCATTTAATTTTATGTCTTATAGGGTTTATACTGAGTACAATATTGTATAACTAATAATTCAACTGTAAACCTAAAAATTTACAGCCAAAAAATAATAATAATAATTCTTCAAAGCATAAAAATTTGTGCCTTAATAATTAGTACAAGTGAAAAACATTAAAGCTGAAATCTACCTGATGACTTTATATTCATGCTCAGATGCCAAGGAGCTCAGAAAGTAACTGACTGTGACTAGTAATAATCAGATGTCTAGAGATTAGAAACATGTGTAATCATCTTAGTGTTAACTGAATTGAAAATAAAATTTTCTGTATGAAACTGTGTATTTTAATAATGAAATGAAGATCTTTTTTAAAGGTTAAAACCTCATTTAATTGTATGTCTTCTAGGGTTTATATTGAGTACAATATTGTATAACTATTAATTCAACTGTAAACCTAAAAATTTACAGCCAATTTTGAAAGAGATGCATCTTAGCTCTGGAAATTTTTATTATGTCAATGCTGTTGTAATGAAATGCTTCTTCTAAGTATGTGATTGTTAAATAAATAATTTTTAAAAATCACAAATAAACAAAAGTACAACAGTCATATACAAGTAGACTCACTGATCACTGAATACTTAGATCACACTCTTTTCTTGTATAAAGTATCTTCATATCTTCTACCAGTAGAGAAACCATACATCTTTTTAGGTAAATGTATCAAATTTCATCCCCAAAATTAAAGAGTAATCTTTAACAGACATTTACATCTTGTTCTTTCATTAGGCTTTGATTTGGTAGTGGATCCCTGTGTGGATTCTTACCTTTATTACCATAATTGTCCAAACTTGAAGGGACATTCTATACTAATTCCTTCTTATAGACTGTTAAATTTTCTCATCCTCCTTTACTAATTGCAAAACTTTGGAAGCCAAATATTGCTTTGTACCTCAGACAACCACAATATATGTATATGGGGGAGTGCACATGTATGTAGAGCTGTATAACGTAAAAGACAATAAAATTTAATTTTGTATTCTGTTATTATTGTGATAACATGCACACAAATAATGTTAATTAACAAAATTTTTGAAATAGTATGAAGTCTCATCTATGTTCTAATAACAACATCTTATATAACAAAATTATAATCATGAAAATCAGGAAATTAACAATACTAAATTATAGAATCATTCCATTTTCATCAGGATTCCCTATAAACTTTCTGTTCTTTTCTAGAACTCAGTTTTTTTGCTGTTATATCTAATTTACAACAGCTGTTTGCTTTTTCTTTATCCTTCATAACTTACTTATTTCAAGATTATTGATCAGGCATTTGGCAGAATGACTTCATTTGGGGTTTATCTGATATTTTCTCATGATTAGACTGATGGTATTCATTTTTAACAAGATTATAGCAAAAAGATTACAACCAGCTTATCTGTTGCTCAGAATTGGAATTGCATGACTTTTAATTTCAGTTTTACATGGTTAACATCCCTATATTTAACATACTTCTGAACATAATCCTATATTTATCAGAATCTCAAGCAAGATATTTGATAAGCTACAGATATGTAACATTATATTTAGTCTACAATTTCACTTAACACAAATACAAAACCACATTCACATATACAAGGTAAAACTTTCCAATAGTTCTGTACACTATGTTATTAATAATGTTGTTTCTGGCTAGGCATGTTAGCGCACACCTTGAATCCCACAGCTGGGGAAGCAGAGGCAAGCATATCTCTCTGAGACCACAGTCACCTTAATCTACAATGAGTCCCAGGGCACCTGGGGCTACAGGAAGAGCCTGTCTCAAAAAGATCAAAAATAATGTAATTTCTTAAAATCAAGTACATATTTTGAATACAAAAAGTTACTTTTTAAATTTTGTTTTTCTGAATTTTTGTGTATTTCATAATAATACTTCAAACAATCTAAATCATCTTTATATCCCTGTTCCTACCAGCACCCTCCCATAGTCCCCCAACTAGAACCCATATGCTCTGTCATCTTGTTAAAGCCCACTGTGTCAAGTAATTGTCTTCAAACATTTCCAGTGCAAGTCCATCCACTGAGGTCTAGTCAGCCTGACTAGAGTCCTGTGTTTTAGGATATGGAAACAGAGTCCTATAAGCTCCTGGGATACTGCTCAAATGATTCTATGGCAATGGTGTCAGCATACAAAAGTCCCATGCGAACTCAGGCAGACAAAAACCCAGCATAGAACTAAGGAAATGAATAAAAGACCCCAGTCTTAGCTGCAAAAATATTGACTGATTACTGCTAGGTGAGGAATAGTGCAGCTTTTAAAACGTTACCCGTCCTACTACTTCTTGATTCCTAGCCAATTCATTGAATTTGGAAATTCTTTTTAAATTTGTTATTTTTCAACTTCACTTTCATAGTAGGAAGGTGAAGATTCAATTGAAGGAAACAAAGACACTGAATTTTGATAAAATATTTAATGAAAAAGCATGCAGTACAGAACTTTCAACTCATAAACTATATTGTTCAGCAATGATTACTATAGTTGGCATAATCGTGAAAGCTTGGTTTTCACTTGATTAAAATAATTTTTAACCATTAGACTGGCGATGACATTCAAAGTCCAATAAGTCTGCCAAAAGCATACACTTTGCCAACATAATCCATCCATTCATTAATAACTGCCTGAGTTAAGTTTCAACAACACACACAGCTGAAAAAAATGCATCTCAATAGCACCTTCTCAGGAGCATCTCCTGCATTGTCCTCACTAGTTAAACAAACACAAGTTGTCATTGCTTGGCTTGACTTCTTGCAGTACCAAATTCATCACAACCATGTCAAATAATTACAGCTTCTTTTTTTCCCCCATTTGGACAATATTGTAAAAGAACGTCATATCATCTTGCTTTTCAGTTCCCTTAGCCAGTTACCCTTTTTTTATTTACAAAATGCTTCTTTGATCAGTCTCTCTAGATCTGCTTTGTGTTGAAATTCTAGGTCAGGATTTCTTTCCAGCACAAGAGACACAATCATTAATAACTCTTTAATGATCTGTATGTACTTGGGCCGATAAATATTTCCAAACACATCTTCAACAAGGAGAGAAATATTCATCTTGTGCATAATTTTATCTGTCATGGTTGGTTACTGTGGCAAATGCTTCCAAGCTTAAACAATAGCATTGCTGTCCTTTTTACCCTAACTGCCTAGCCACTTCCTCCCTCTTCTTCTTATCACACCATCCTCTGAAGAGGTCACCCAAAATGCCGATAAGGAATCCAGGTTCAGACCACTTTGCCTTCTTCCATGCTGAACAGGGATGCAAGGTGAGGCAACTGGGGAACCCCTTCAGTGAGTAGGCAGTTTTTTGGCTAAAAGTCAAAATGTCCTTGGGCCTCTTTTCAACATATTTTGTTCCAAGACCAAAAATGTCAAAAGTATTTGGGAGCTCTTATCTGATCTCTAAAAGATTTTAGGTTACCTCTTCAG